CCCTACAACCACATCAGAACCCTCCAAACAGTCACTGTGTAATTATGGGAAACTCATCCTCCATTTTGGTGAGCTATGTCCCCTCCCTACCCTCTCTTCTGTGCAAATGTGGACAGCAATAAATAATGGAATAATTCCTCTGTAGCCAGCATCTCCTGGATGTTACAAAACAGCTTTTGGTGATGAGTCCCTGCCACCCCATATGGCACCCACCTGCACTGTGAAATGGCAGTCACATGAGGGACATACACTCCTGAGGTGCACACCAGCAGACTTTGCTGGTCCTTGTGCAGCACAGGATGATGTATCATTCATCTGAGATGGTATCTGCACAAAAGGGCCATGAGACATAAAAACAGAGCTAAACACACAACTTTAGGTGCCATAATTCTCAACCACTTTTGAGCCAAAAGAGGTGCTTTAGTGGAGTTTCTGAAAGAGAAGATGCAGGGGCCAGACTGTTCACCCAGAACAATGTCCCTTCTTCCTTGTGCTCTCTGGCATCCATCCTTTGAGTAGTCTAAAACAAGCACTTTGAGACACCCAGGGACTTGGCATGAATTCAAAGCCAGATACAAATATTAAATACTCCTCCTGGGTTCCCAAATGATAGTTTGCACCAACACATTGGCAACTTCGTCCCTTCACATGGTTTATTTCTAGAGCTGGCACCTCAAACTGTGAGAGCAGATCAAGAATAGCAACGGGCATTTTGCCTTTCAGGTGCTACAATGACCTAAAGTCTGTACTTCATTACCAAGGGCTTCAAAAGTCTGCCCCATCTTGGCCGCAAGGTTCAGCACATCGTTAAAAGTAGTCTTATATGGAGCAACAGAAGCTCTAAGGACAACTCTGAGGATATCTTTCTTTAGGACTACTAGTAGGTGTTTAATGAGACAAAAGTGTGATCCAATAATGTTTAACAGAGACATTTTATGAATTGCAACAAAGCTGAAAGTCATAACATAGATGTTACTACATCAGAAATCTCACCTGTGTTGCATATACACCAACCTTGTCTCTCTGAGGCAAAGCCATCACATAAGCACTCGAGAGATATAGGAAAGTTTACTCTACATCCCTCCAAGTACTCCATTTAAAAAAAAGGACATGTAAAATATGCTCTGTACAGCTGTTGTCTTACCATTTGCCTTGTGCTGCACATCTGGCGGAAACTGGTCAGGAACATACCACTGATAGTCTGGCTGCATAGAACAATAAAACATTATTACAGCAATATGGACTTCATAGGCACTTCAAACAGAAGAACAGTGACATGATAAAACCATAATTGTGCTGTGAAGTTTTTTAGTAGCCATACAAAAGTAGTTTACAGAAAACCCCTTATATTTAGCTTTATATTTCCATTGATTCTTTCAGCTTGCTTCCTTTTTTATGACATGTGGTTTAGATGCTGCACTCATTAGAAATATTGCTGTGGGATCTAGAAGATCCAAGAAATCAAAAGAAACATTAGCAGAAACAAGTCAGATTTTAAATGGGCTAAGGAATGAAGTGCAGCAGAAGATACTAGCAGGCATCACGTTCTCTACACAAAAGAACCCCAAAGAAACCTGGCACACATTGACCCGACAGGTGAAGCTGATCTAGTTTTAATATGTGTAACATCTGTAACACGTTTCAGTGGGACAGGAATAATGCATTTAATAACACTCTCTCCCCTCCTTCCTTCCCCACAGGTTAACATTAGTGTTACTAGAACATTAGCTGTTATCAAACAACTTCTTGAAAATACTGTGGGATTAGGAAAATTCCCATATTTCTTATAACAGGAAGTATTGGGAAGGTTATGTCCATGCAAACATAGTTTTGGCCAGGGAAATCCTGGAAGAAAGAAATACTGCATTATAATCTATACCACACACCATCATAGATGAGTAGGAAATCACCACCAAAGAAAACAATTTTGAGACCAGACATTTCAGCTGAAGCTGCATTAAGCTGTCTGTCTGGTTTAAGTAGAACATGGAGATTTGTCAAATTCCAGGTAACTACTGCTTCAAATTAGTTAGACTGGGAAATTTATTCTTGTTTTTTAGAAATTATTGTGACAAAATCTTGAGTAGTCCTAAGGAGACTCTTATAGATCTCAACTCGTACGGAAGAAGTTTCATAGACTTGTAAAGAAGTTTTGCCTAAATTAAGATGATAGGATGAAGCTGTAGATACAGATAGGAGATTTAATTTTTATGCATGCTGTCAGTTGTAGCTACATAACAGTACTCACTCTCCTTCACTGCCATGAAAAAAAAGGAGCTATCCTATTTTCACTTAAATTACACCATCCACAGAAATTAACAGATTCTGTGCTTGTGGGCAAACAAAATAGACTTTGATACAAAGCAAGACTCTGCTTTGCTTTAAGCATAGGTAGTTTATCCACTGATGGCTCAAAATCCATAGTTGCATTGCTTTTTGAATTTCTGTTCAATTTGCTGTTGTCTAACCTACTCTTCTTTTTCATATGTACTTATACTATGCAAACTTCAATGAGTTTCAGAAACAAGAGGTGTATTTCATGTCAGACTAAACATATTTCTACTAACAATGAAAAAAATGAATGAAAATATATAAAATGCAAGGAATAAAGGAATATATAATATAAGGAACGCAAGATACGAAGAAGGAAAAAGCAAAAGCACAGACTAAACACACAGGATTACATACATTAACTCAGGACAGATTAAATTCTAACACCTTTCTTCATTGCTAAACAAATTGCTCAGGGAAGTATCAGAAGCTCAGAGCAGCAATGCTGCACTCACATAGACAAAGAAACTCAAAGAAAATTCAGAATGAATCTGGGAGTTACGAAGCAACCAGTCAAACTGACCCCGGTGCTCTGGCAGGAATGACAAAGTTGTAAACCCAGTGATCCCTCGCAGAATTAGAAACCCAGATGATGAAAGTTCAGGGAGAAGAGCCAAAATAATCTGGGAAAGTGTCCAAATTGCAGTGAAAAACATTCTGCAATACTTCCAACTCTGATAAACATGCAGATAAGTACACTCCCAAAGCACAGACATGGCTTGTTTGACCACAGCTTTTCTGCTGGATTTCTACAGTCTGAAAGACCTTAGATGTGTTTTGCAAAAACTCAGCTATAATTTCTTAAGTAATGAGCATCTTGCCATACATGACAGCTTTATAGCCACAAACACATAGTATTTAGAATGACATTCACCATATTTAAATGCATTCTTCACTACATTTGAACAAACCCAGCCCACTTAGATAACCCAGAGCACTTCAAAAGTCTCATTCTTTGAAGCAGTATTTTCCTCGAAATATATAACTCCCTTTCACATAACCTGCCCTAGGGTGAAGCTATTCTTCTTCACACTGAGGAAGACAGGACCCAGTTGTGTGCCAGGAAAAAAGGCACATTTCCCATTGTGTTAGCTACACTTTGATATAATTTCCACTTCTGATATTTTTTTTTTTTCTTGGCACTAGACAGGCTTGCTTGGGAAAACTGCATTGCTAAAGTATTCACAGCTAGAGTGCCTCACCCTCAGTAGAACCTTATTCCTCATGTAATCCCATTTCACTCAGCAGGACAGTTATATTACAGAAGCTGTGAGTAAAGGAGGAGGAAAGTAATTTTCCGAAGACAGGGCCAGAGGAAGAAGTACCCAGTGTAAGACACAGCAATAAGACATATTGGTCAACAAGCTTTCTTAGAATGGAGGGAAGAGACCAGAATAGCACTGATCACTGGCATGTTGTCACTATCATTTATGTTGAAGGCCCTGAACTGAGCTCCAGAGAGCAGATCCATATTTATGACTTTGGGTAACCATGAATCTGGAAAGGGCTCTGAATGTGTTTTGTGGAAATAAATTAATCTAAGAAATCAGCAAGAGTGCAATCAAACAACCTTATTTTTTTAATTAAGGAATTACCACCAGTATTATTGAAAGCAAATGTGTAATAATACTCTTTTTCTTCGTAGTGGTATTGTAGATGAAACAGTATTTTGCTGAAGTAAATCTAAAATATATAAGAATATATACTTAAAGTATAACCATATATTTAAATAGCTGCAATTTTCGCTCTTTATGCACAGATTTCTATTGGTTATGCATTGATTTGCACATGGCAGCAGTTCAGTACTGAAGACACTGGAAGAGCAAGGAGGAAAGCAACAGCTATCAAGAGAAAATCAGCATTTTAGGGCAGGTAGTAAGGGAAGAGAGACTGCAGAGAGATCACTAATGCTGTTCCAGACCTATGGCTAATTCTAAATCTTTACCTGCAAGGGACAACGAGCTGGAAAACAACAGACTTAATTACTGGTGAGGATGGCACTGTGACAGCACCATGTTTTTCTCCTGTGAGAAAATCAGTGCCCTTGTGAAATGGGAGATGGTGGGAACCTTACCGAGTGCTGCTGCTGCTCATGTGTCCTGCGAGACACTGGATGCACTCGAGGATCTTGATAGTGAAGAACCAACCCACAACTCCCATAATTAGCACATGGTGAGAGGAAAAGTGGAGGGGGGCAACTGGGCCTCTCAGACTGTACCTGTAGGTCTTTTGTCTGTCAAAAAAGAAAAGAGAAAAACAAGAGGAAATGCGTCAGCAGTGGGATACAATGACCAACAGAATATTGATGTAAAAATTCATCAATAAAAAGCATTTAGTAAAAAACAAGGAAGAAAGCCTCCTCTCTCTACCTGGGTCACAACACTGCTCATTTAGCCCCTTCAGACTGCTCAGGATGAAAAAATTATTTAAGAAAACTGACTTGTGCTACACCAGAGTCTTGATAGTCTTTATGTGAGAAAATATAGGTTTCAAGTTATGGTTAGCACATTTCTGAGTGTTGTCTATGTTCAAGAAATACACTTGTTACACACAGTAGCTTTTGATAGTTTGAAGAACAACTGCATGGACAGGCACTTGGTAACATGAAAAATAAATAATTTTGGTAAAGGAGCAAAGTTGGTGGCCTCAAAATTTGGGTCTGCATTTTCTTAGGCCCTCTGTGCCCCAGCAGAGTCAACAGGAATTTGCCTAAGAACAGAGGAAGGATGGGTAAAAGATGATTAACATTCTATGATTCTATGAGTCACAACTAAGCAATTTGATGTAAGAAAAAACAATACATATTCTGTAAGGTTTTTCTCATGTTTAAAATCCTTCACAAGCTCTGTTTAATTGCATTCCAAGACAGGAAGCGATGAACAAGAAGACCTCTAGTCCAAACTGTTGATCCAGTTCAGGGACAGTCAAGTACATGCACATTACACAGCACCTGTGCAGCCCTTTGGGTGTGTTGCACACATGCAGCACTGATGGCATTTCTCTGGCCCCAGAGCAGCTGGGAATGAGTGAGAAAGGCCTTTTAGCCCCATTTGTAGTCATCCTCTTCACTGTCACTGCTGTGAGAAGTTCTCACAGCATCCGTTGACCAGTTGGGGTTGTGCAAGAAATTTAGCCTTTGTATTCTCTATACAATGCAAAAATGTATAGGAAGAAGGTGTCTTCGAGTACTCTGTCTCACAAAAAAACTTACTTACCTTACTGAACCACAAAGGATTGAGCTGGTGGGTGGAGGACATACACCTGAATTGCTATAGATTTGTCCAAGGTATCTCTATGTGCCTGGTATGCCCCAAGTGGCAGATCATGGCATTCCCTCTCGCATTGCTATTTTTACCCTTGCACGAAATGCTTCTGAGTACCCATAAAAGCACTGACAAGTCCAGGACCTTACTGCAGCAGTGTCCAGCATCTGCCAGGATGCCCAGC